TCATGCCCCCTGCCGTGTAGCGCCGGAAGAGAGCCTCCACCAGCCCGTGCACAGCGCCCAGGAGAATGCCTGCAATGAGGGGTGCAGTGCGATGCAAGGGAGTGTAGGAATGCTCTCGGTTGAGAGAGCCCTTCAGCCCGCCGTGTAGCGCCGGAAGAGAGCCTCCACCAGCCCGTGCACGGCGCCCAGGAGAATGCCTGCAATGAGGGGTGCAGTGCGATGCAAGGGAGTGTAGGAATGCTCTCGGTTGAGAGAGCCCTTCACCCCGCCGTGTACCGCCGGAAGAGAGCCTCCACCAGCCCGTGCACGGCGCCCAGGAGAATGCCTGCAATGAGGAGAGGAAGCACGCGAAGAAGGGACACAAGGGGACCAAGGGGTCCCAGGGAGGGAAGGTGAAGGGCGGTCCCAGAGGCACCGACCAGATTCTAGTACGCTACACACACGGCCCATGCTCCCACTCCAGATCCTCACCTCGCTCCCCGAAGATATCGCTCTTGTACTCGCCCTCCAGGGTGGTGGCGAACGTGAAGGGCGAGCCCAGGGAGCGAGCTCAAGCCACACACACACCACATACACGCACACTATCGGAACCCCACTCCTCCTCACACACTTATCCCCACCTCTCCCCAAAGATGTCGCTCTTGTACTCGTCCTCCAGAGAAAGGGAAAAGAGTGACATCTTGTCCTCCAGGGTCGTAGCAAAGGTCAAGGGCGAGCCCAGAGCCACGGACCAGCTTGCTACTAAGCTGCGAACACATCCCATCTCTTCCACTATGCCATTTTCAACCCCTACTCCTCACCTCTCTCCCCGAAGATGTCGCTCTTGTACTCGTCCTCCAGGGTGGTGGCGAACGTGAAGGGCGAGCCCAGGGCCACTGACCAGCCCAGAGCCACTTCAGTGGCGCGGCCGTCCACGTCCTGCCACGTGGCACAGGGAGGGAGGAGCACGCACATACAGGCGGAGCATAAGAAGGCGCACGCGCGATGAACTGCATTGATTTGCGTGCTGACTTCCGTTGACTTTGTTACTTAGCTAGTTAGCTGTTTTTTTTTGTTTTTTTTGTTTGACACTCGTTGCATTGAAGCACTCCCCGAGTGCTTTCCCGAAGGTCTACCCCAATCAAGGTGCTTACCTGGTGCACGGCGAACGAGGCGTTGATGCCCGAGCCGTTCACCTCCTACCCTGCACGTACAGCCGCCGCACGGACGGCCCCATGCCCTTGGGGCACACGGCCCCCTGCCCCCTACCACCGACCAATGCGCTATCCTCTAGGCTCCCTTCCTTCCCTCTCCTTACCTGGTGCACGGCAAAGGACGCGTTGATGCCCAAGCCGTTGACCTCCATGCCCTGCACGCACAGCGGCCTCGTGCCCTTGAAGCACACAGCCCCACTCAGCATCCCACACCCCTCTAGTACCTGGTGCTGCCCTGTACCCCCTTACCTGGTGCACGGCGAACGAGGCGTTGATGCCCGAGCCGTTCACCTCCTTGCCCTGTACGTACAGCCGCCGCACGGACGGCCCCATGCCCTTGGGGCACACGGCGACGACGCTGATGTCATCACGGAAGCCCTTTCCGAGCGACTGCAGATGACCCAGCAGGAACCCGTGGGACAGACCCAGCACGGCTCCCGGCTTCATAGCGTTCAGGATAGCCTCGTGGTTGTCCGCCTGGCAAGGGATGGGGGAGAAACGGGGGAAAACGGAGGGGTAAAAATGGTGAGGAGGGGCGAAGGGCGCATGCACGGAGGGCCCCATGCCCTTGGGGCACACGGCAACGACGCTAATGTCATCACGGAAGCCCTTTCCGAGCGACTGCAGGTGGCCAAGGAGGAACCCGTGGGAGAGACCCAAGACAGCGCCGGGCTTCATAGCATTCAGGATCGCCTCGTGGTTGTCCGCCTGGGGGGGGAAGGGGGGGGAGAGGGAGGGATGATGGGAGAGACGACAGGAGACGGGAGGGAGAGGAAAAGGAGGATGACCAGGTCGCTCTCAGAAATGTCCTTGCTGACAGCATGCCCGCTTCGTTACAACGAGTTCGCACAATAACGAGTCACTCTCACCTGAGCACCGTCGGAGATGAGGAGAACGACCAGGTCAATCTCGGAGATGACCTTGCTGACGTCCCTAACTCCTCCGAAACTTCTATCGAGTACACACTATAGCGAATCATGCTCACCTGAGCAGCGTCGGAGATGAGGAGAATGACCAGGTCGCTCTCGGAGATGACCTTGGTGACGTCACCCAGGGTGCCCGCCTCCTCCGTGAACCCGCATCGGCGCGCATCCTTCGCGGATGACGAGCTGGGGCGCAGGCCAATCTGGAGGTGACACGTGGAAGGGGTCGGAAGCAGAGGAGCAGGCGAACGGGAGAAAAAAACAAAAACGCAATTTTAGGAAACCATTTGAACTGGCATACTGCAGTAATTTCGGGAGCTCGGAGATTGGAAGACGTCAACAAAGTTCAACAGCGCATTGTGGTTTCAGTCACGACTTCATAATCCAATTCACGCGGGATGATGCAGGGGCGTTGTACTGTAGGAAAAAAATGGAGTAAAACACAGTACATTCCCGTTTGCGAGTGCGTGTAATAACGGGGATAATGCGACTTACGGAGACGGTGATGTCGGAGTTGATCTCAGCGAGCGAGTCGCGGATGTTCTGCGCCTGAGCGGGACCCTGCGGTGTGGAAAATACGCGACACAGAGGAACTCGATATGGATCAGCGAGGGAGTGGTGAACGTTCTACGGATAGACACAATGAGGGGATGATTCGCGGCTGACGAAAGGCCTGTGGTAGACGGAGCTCGTAGTGAAATACGCGATACAGGACATTAAAAAGGGGTGCTTGTTGCGAATGAGATTTGATCGCAAAAAAAAGGCTGAATCGCCAAGACGTGCAAGTTCAAGGAACAGGGTTTAGGCTACTCGTTTTACGCAAAAAATGAGGGTAAACAGAAATATGAATCTGCACTTGCCTGCGAACCCCAGCCGATAACGCCGATCTTCTTGATGCCCTTGAAGGCCTCCGCGAGCAGCGGGTAGAGGTTGCGCCCACCACGCACGATGTACTGATGGGGGGAAGGACGCGGCGAAAAATGGCAATATGAAGAGAATGCGGGGCAAGAGATCGGGAATCAACTATCAGCCATCAGCGATCAGTGGGTATTGAATGGCCCGATGACCTGGCTAACAAAGCACTTCAAAATGACACGTGAGATATCGGAAATCGCGGAATCCGCGAAGTCAGGGCTCAGTGGATGAATCCGCTACTCTCAACCGACAAATACTCGCACCAACGAGGGATGCGCACGCGGGAATCCACATAATGCGATCGGTCCGACGCAATGTGAACATTTCTTGAGCGAACTATTTTATGGGGGTGAACCCAAAAGCGACGGCAATGAAGAGAAGGCGAAAAAAACGTTCAGAGGTATTATTTTATTAATTGAAAAACACCATGCTTTCAAACTCCACTTCGCGTTTCCGCAACATCCGTTTCAACGTCTCAGAATCGAATAGTGGAAGCTTGAAAAGAAATCCTCGCGGACGGCGAGGTTTATCCTTTGTGAAGCGTTCCTCTCGAATTTCACGTCCGCGTTAATCGACTCCTCATGATCGATCGACAAAAACGGCACGTAAAAACGAAAATGTGTACCTCCTCACGGCCGGCGAGGTTGATCTTCTCCTTGGTGAACACATTGCTCTCGAACTGCACCTCTGCGTTTTTAAGACGTCCCAATATCGGGTTGGAGGAGCCTAAAGAGAAGAAAAAACACACATATCATTTACCTCCTCACGGCCGGCGAGGTTGATCTTCTCCTTGGTGAACACCTTGCTGTCGAACTGCACCTCCGCGCCGCGCTTCGTGGTCGCGGTGGCGACGGCTTGCGACCGGACGCTGACAGCGACAGGCGCGGCCTTCTTGCTGGCAGCGCTCAGCTTCTCGACACGTGGCATGGGCGACATGACGACGGCGCTCTTGGCGGACGCGAGGGTTGCGTCATTTTTGAGAGAGAGACCGGACACAGCGGTCTTGCCGAGCGTGCAGCTTCCGCAGGGAAGAGCCATGATGGTTCTAGGTTAGCTCGTCTTGACGGCTAAAAGAGAGAGAAGCAGCCGATAGCTCGACGGAGTAGAGATTCTCGCGCTAACCGTGGAATGCGGAGAGCCTGGGAAAACCAGGTCTTTAGGAGAGGAAAGAAAGAGCTCCGACTAAAGCGGAGAGCGAATATGAGATGAGTCTGGAGGTTGACTGGTGGAAAATGTATAGCAAGATGGGGGAGAGGCGGAGACTGTTGGGGGAAATTGGCGGAGAATGCGGAAAAGATTAGTGTGGGAGTGGAGCACGGGGGCTGGGGGGGGGAGCTTGTGGTCAGGGCAGCCCTGGAAAAACATTACGGGTTGCTGAAACCGAAGAGCCAATCGGGAGTAGTTCACGAATCATATATTGCCATGTCAACATTCCACGATCGACACATAGGCAATAATGAGGGTTTTATGGTCTGACGTCAGGCTTGGGCACCCGAAAGAAGCTTCCGATTGGCAAATAGCAGCTTCCCCTTGGCTGAAAGGCTGCCGTCACTCACCCCATTTCCGAACCGAAATGGACTGCCAGGGGAGCGAGCGCGGTCACGCAGCCCAGCTCACCCGTGAAGTCCTTGTACACTACATTGATATAGGTGTTACTCAAGTTGTAATGACTACATGATTGGATCTCAGTCCCCCAGTATTAACAGATATCGGAGCAGTTCTAATCAAATGCATTCCTCCAAAAAAGTCTGACATTCAACATGCTATAATATTCGTACTCACGACTTCAGAACTCAGGGAGTACCTAGAGACTATTGTTACGACCTCCTGTGTGCTACACCGTCTCCTAAAACTTGTCTTAACTTAGTCTCAGGGGGTCCTGGAATCATCCTACTCAACCAACACTCAGGACAAGTCCAGTCCGTATCGTAATTTGCCGACATAGGCCAGGAGCGGTCCAACGGTCAGGATGCAATTCGGAGGGCGACGCGAGGTGAGCGCGGAGCTGCTCAGTTGGAGTAGGAAGGAGCTAGATTTCCTTGGATCCATTACATCTGGGAGTCCGACCGTTACGTTTCTTCCATGCCGTGCAGTGTTTGCCGGCATGTGCTGTCACTGGGTGTACCAGATCGACCCTATGCTGACATGACACGTGTCGTTAAGAGCTTGACTAAATCTTCACTTGGTGTCGCTTGGCGGAGTGAGCGGAACGGACGTATCGCGGAACGCCCTGCCAGACTGTTCTGTTACGCTCGACTCTCTCCCTCCTGTTACCCCGTCGAATCTCTCGAATTTCTCATTTCACTATTTTCCTGTCGCGAATTCCTATCTCCTATTCCCCCGGCGGATTCCGCAGGTGTCGCTGCGCGGGGCGAGCGCGCGCGAGGTGTCGCGGAACGCGCTACTGAACAAGGTGGCGGAAGAGCGCGCGGCGCGCAGCAAGGCCCGCAAGTCCGCGGCCTCCGCCGCGCTCATTCAGGTGCGCCAGGCGCCAGATTGGCGCTTCAGGTGCTCCATTCGGCGTTTCAGGTGATCCAGTCGGCGTTTCAGGTGCTCAAGTCCACATTTCTGGCAGGTTGTCTCTTACGTGCACGCCGCTACATCTGCCATCAAATGGTTTCGCACCACACACTTACCCACCCACCCACTCGCTTACTCACCCACAAACCCACCCACCCATTCACTCGCCCACCCTCCCACTCACCCACCCATTCTGTAATTCCGTTTGCCCACATCAGCGTGTGTGGCGTGGCAGGAAAGCAGCTTGCGTCGCTCGCCAGCTCGTCCAATCCGAGTGGGACACGTGGCATGCTTCCCGCATGGCAGCAGTGGGGGGCCAGCCCCCAGCGCCTCTAACAGCCGATGAAGTTTCCCAGAAGCTTCTGGCGCCGGTGCTGTTCTTGCTGTGGGATGCGCGGAAAAGGGAGTGGAGAATTGGAGGGAGGGGGGAGGGGGGGGAAGGGGGAAGCAGAGGGGAAGGGGGAGGGACCGGAGCAGGATCAGGGGCAGGGGCAGGGGCAGGGGGAGGGGCAGGGGGAGGGGGAGCAGGAAAGGAACTGCAACGGTTACAGTCGGTGCTGGTGTGGCTGTTAAAAAGTCTGGATTCCCCAGGTAAGCAAGGGCTTGAGTTTAGTCTTGTGTCAATTGCTTAAGCCCGTCAAAAAAAGGGTGAGATGAGAAGGAAGGGAAGTGGAACAGTTACAGTCAGTGCTGGTGTGGCTCTTAAAGAGTCGGGCTATTGAAGTTTCCCAGGTAAGTGGGATTTTCGGAGCAGTCGGTTCAACAGTCCCAATCCACTTAATCAAGCTCGCCTGTTCTTTTGTTAATCCCCTAGGCCTCTCAAGCTCGCCTGTTCTTTTGTTAATCCCCTAGGCCTCTCAAGCTCGCCTGTTCTTCTGTTGATCCCCTAGGCCTCTCAAGCTCGCCTGTTCTTTTGTTGATCCCCTAGGCCTCTCAAGCTCGCCTGTTCTTTTGTTAATCCCCTAGGCCTCTCAAGCTCGCCTGTTCTTTTGTTAATCCCCTAGGCCTCTCAAGCTCGCCTGTTCTTCTGTTGATCCCCTAGGCCTCTCAAGCTCGCCTGTTCTTTTGTTAATCCCCTAGGCCTCTCAAGCTCGCCTGTTCTTTTGTTGATCCCCTAGGCCTCTCAAGCTCGCCTGTTCTTCCGCTTCCCCCCTCCTCTCGCAATTGTGGTTCACCCTCTCTCGTTCATCCCAATGCAGATCCTGCTACCAACTTCTGCTCCTTGGCCGTCGGCACCCAATCACAGCGTGCCATGTGGCAGCACCAGGCACATAGAATCGTGTCCCTCTGCAGTGCCCTCCTCAGCCTTTTCTCCTCTTCGTCGTCGTCCTCCTCCTCTTCCGCCTCGCCCTCTCCCTCCACCACCACCACCCCATCAGCACCCTCCCTCCTACTCACTGTTCTCGCCATGCGTGTCCACGTGTCACTCTGTGACACTGCCACGTGGCGCTTCCTCAAATCGTCAGCTGTCACTGCCTCCTCCTCCCCTGAAAGCACCCTGGCAGCAGCAGAGGCTCAGGTGCTTTCTCTGTTGGCAGGTACTGCATCAGGTGCCACGGGGATCTACCCTGCACTGCGCATGCACATACTGACAAACTCCGCCGCCCCGCCCGTGGACGGGTGGAGGGAAATGAAGGGGAAAGGAGGAGGGATGGGAGGGGGGCCAGGAGGTGGGGGAGGAGCTCAGGTTGCCCAGCAAATATTTTTGCTGACCGCTGCTGCAATGACGGTGGCTCTCAGACCTATCGTTGTTTTCTCGGGCAGGAAAGATGGGCAAGAAGTTGCTGGGAAGCTGCCATCTGGTAAGTCATACGTTTTAGTTCTCCTCCTCTCCTGGTTTACCTGCCCACCGCTATTTTCCTAAGGACCGCATTTTCCTAAGGACCGCATTTTCCTAAGGACCGCATTTTCCTAAGGACCGCATTTTCCTAAGGACCGCATTTTCCTAAGGACCGCATTTTCCTAAGGACCGCATTTTCCTAAGGACCGCATTTTCCTAAGGACCGCATTTTCCTAAGGACCGCATTTTCCTAAGGACCGCATTTTCCTAAGGACCGCATTTTCCTAAGGACCGCATTTTCCTAAGGACCGCATTTTCCTAAGGACCGCATTTTCCTAAGGACCGCATTTTCCTAAGGACCGCATTTTCCTAAGGACCGCATTTTCCTTCCCTCGTCTCATTGTGCCTCGAGTATATTCATCCCCTGTTTCAACAGAGCTGTGTCCTGAACAGTCCCTTCTCCTCTTATTCTTTGGTTTACTCGGCCCGTCTCTACCGTCGCTCCGTTCCCTGCCATGCAGAGTGGGCCTCTCTGGCAGCAGATCAGTTTGCCGGCAACACTTGAGTCATATGATGTCTCAAAAGTCTACTTGCCCAGTTCTACCGTCCCTACTTTCCGTTCCCTGCCATGCAGCGTGGGCCTCTCTGGCAGCAGATCAGTTTGCCGCCCGCCCACATTTGAATTTGGACGCATCTCAAAAGTCTACTCTCGCATCCTTGTCTGTATGCCCTATGTTCCGTTCCTTTGCATGCAGCATGGGCATCATTGGCAGCAGATCAGTTTGCCGCCCACATTCTCACCATCCCACTGCTGACGTGGCGCCTGCCATCCCCCCTCCTCCCTGCCCTGCGCCATCTGTCAGCTCTCCAGCCCTGCCTTATCTCCTGCCTGGTACGATCATTCTCTCTTCTCTTCCTTTCTACCTCAACTTAACTTCTGGCCTTGCCCACTATGCCTCTCTTTCCCCTCCTCCCTTCCCTGCGCTATCTGTCAGCGCTCCAACCGTGCCTCCTCTCCTGCCTGGTACGAATCGTTCTTCCAAGCCATCTACGATAATGCACCTGTCTGCCTGCCAGAATCGTTTACCTTCTCCATTAAACAACCCCGTCCGTCTCTCCTCCTCCCTGCCTTGCGCCATCTGTCAGTGCTCCAGCCGTGCCTCCTCTCCTATCTGGTGTAATCATTTTCTCCGTTGCCCCAACCCTTCTTCTTTGCTGCCTGCCCCTCCATTGCCCCTCCGATTCTCTTCCGCTCTGTGCCTTACCCCTCCTATCCCCTCGTGCAGCGCAAGGCTCCTTCCCCCCACCCCTCGCGACCCGACCCATACCACCGACTCACCTCCCATCTCCCCCCTCCCGGCTGGTCCTAGCTACCCTCTCTGCTGCTCTCTCATTTGTGTCCCCGACCCCTCTCCCCCTCTCCCCCTCTCCCTCCCTCCCCTCTGCTATTTACCTGCCCCTCTCTCTCCTCTCTTGCAGCGCCAGGCTCCTTCCCCCCACCCCTCGCCACCAGACCCATACCACCGGCTCACCTCCCATCTCCCCCCTCCCGCCTGGGCTCTAGCAAACGTCTCTGCTCTCGCCACCGCCCCCCCTTCCCTCTCCTCCTCCCCCTCTCCATCCTCCTCCCCTTCCCCCTCTCCACCCTGTCCTCCTCCTCCTCCCTCTCCCTCACTCTCCTCTGAGCTGTTCCTACCCGGTCTGGACTTGCCACTCTATGTGCACGCCCTCTGCGCCCTAGCTGCTGCTGTGATAGCCCATGAGGAGAAAGAGGTGAGGGAGGAGAGAGGAGGGAAAGGGATAAAGAGAAGGGAGCAGCAGCAGGAGGAGGAGGAGGATGAGGAGGATGAGGAAGAGGACGGGAGGGGAAGAAGAGGCGGGCGTAGGCAGGTGCACCCGTGTTTTTACGAGGATATTTCCCCTTTGTGTCAGCGGTGGCACGTGCTGAGGGTCCTAGAAGAAGCCCTTAAAGCCGAAAAAAGTGCGGAAAAGGCAGCAGAATCGGGAGGGAAACCTGCTGCAGTAGCAGCATCAGGATCAGCAGCAGCAGGAGCAGGAGGAGGAGGAGCAGCAGGGCGGCAGCAGCTAGACATGGGCGATTTCGGCCGCCTCTACTCGCTCCTCCTCACGCTCTTCTCCTCGGTGCATGCGTCCTCAGGGCGGGTGCTCCCTCTCCTCAACGTCCTCGCCTTCACTCGCGAGGTTCTCACAGGGCTGTGGCACTGGCTGGTGGCTCACTGCCGTATCTCTATTTCTCAGGCGTATGCGGAGAGTGAGGGGATGCAGAGTGGTTTGCAAGGGGTACAGAGTGGTTCCAAGGGAATACAGGCGGCTGCTGCTGGCGGTGCTGGTGCTACTCGTTCTGCTGCTGCTGGTACTGGTGGTGGTGGTTCTGGTACTGCTGGTGGTGGTTCTGCTGCTGGTGCTGGTGGTGGTGGTGGGAGGGCAAGAGAGGGATCTAGCAGGAGGGGAAACAGAGGGAGGAGGGAAGGGAGCAGGCAAGGGGGAGGGGGAGGGGGAGTGGCTGGTTCGTTTCAGCTGCCCCAGTTTTCGGGCAGCTGGTTTCCAAGGTCGTTTTTGGACGGGTATGGGGGAGGTGGGGAGGGAGGGGAGGAAAGGGCGGAGGAGGAGGATGAGTGGGGGAACCCACATGGAGGAGGAGGTGGAAGAGGTGGAAGGGGAGGAGAAGGGGTAGGAAGAGATAGAACGGGCGTTGACCACATGCAGACAGATTCTGCCGGCCAGGGAAGGCCGCCCGGGAGTGCGGGTGATGATGATGCTGCGCTGGCTGCATTCATTGGTGGGCGGCAGGCTGGTCAATCAAGTCAACCAGGGTCAACGGCAGCACAGCAGTGGTCCACCTTTCTCTCCTCCACGTTCCAGAGACGCGCAGCAGAGGCACAGAGAGGGCGCAGAGGAAGAGGAGGGGGAGAGGGAGGCGGGAGGACGTTTTGGGAGACCCAGACAGGTGACTATATGGAAGAGGATATTGACGAGGGGGAAGAGGAAGGAGGAGAGGAGGGGGGAGTGGGAGCGGGAACTGGGGGATTCGAGGGAAGAGAGGGGGGAGAGGGAGGAGGAGAGCGGTGGGATGTGGAGAGTATGAAGAAGGGGGTGGCAGGGGTGGCGGCTGACGTGGCAGTGGTAATGACGGTGTTCTGCAGGGCGTATGCCCACCTGCTGCTCGTGCTGGATGATGAGGAGTTCTACCAGAGACAGGTGGGTGCTGTGCGGTGCTGCACAGTGGGGTGGTGGGTCCTGTGCGGTGCTGTGCGGTGGGGTGCGGTGCTGTGTGGTGGGGTGGTTTGGCTTACCTTGTCCCTCAGATCCCTTTCTCTTTTAGAGCAGCAGGTCATTTCAGCCATACACAACAACACCCTTGCCTGCAACATGCAAAAATCATCTTCTCCTCCTTCTATACCCACTCCCTTGCCTGTCAGCAACCTAGTCTACAGCACCCTCATCTCCTCCCACTTGTCTGCCTGCCCCTGCCCCTCTTCCCTCCGTATCCCTCCTCTTCCTTGTCCCGTGTTCCCCTCTTCCCTCAGATCCCCTTCTCTCTTTCCGAGCAAAGAGTCATCGCAGCAACACTCAACACTCTCGTTTACAACACACTCATCTCCTCCCCCTCCTCCTCCTCCCCGTCCCCCTCCTCTTCCTCATCCGCCTCCGCCTCTTCCCCGCTCACCCCTTCGCAATCCACGCTACTAGAAGCAGCCACGCGCTGCCTCCTCCCTCTGCACGACCGCGACTGTAGACGAGCCTTCTGTGAGCCTTCGCTCTGGCTGGCCCCTGCTGACCGCCGCCCACCACCTGTCATCTCTGCAGCAGGTACATATGAGCCCAATTATGTGCTACGGTGGGCCTAGATGTTCAAAAGCAGGTAAAAGTCATTGAACAATCCGCTCTACTAGAAGCAGCCACTCGATGCCTCCTCCCTCTGCACGACCGCGACTGCAGAAGAGCTTTCTGCGAGCCTTCCCTCTGGCTGGCCCCGGCTGACCGCCGCCCACCACCTGTCATCTCGGCAGCAGGTATGTTGGGCGAGCAGGTGGGTACTGTACTCTTTCCCTGGTGGTTCCACGTCCCTTTTCCCTGGTGGTTCCACGTCCCTTTTCCCTGGTGGTTCCACGTCCCTTTTCCCTGGTGGTTCCACGTCCCTTTTCCCTGGTGGTTCCACGTCCCTTTTCCCTTTCTCCTCCTCGCTGCCTCCTCCCTCTGCGAGCCCTCCCTCTGGCTCCCCTTTTCTGTGAGCTCATTGCTACCCGTTTTCAGGGAGTTTTTGAGAATTCTCAAAAACTCCCTGAGCTCATTGCTCCCCGTCTTCTCTTCCGTTCCGACTCTCTTCCTTCCCCTGCTGTTCCCACCGCTGCAGGCACAGCCAGACACCATGGGGTGTGGGGCGAGGAGGGGAGGGGGAATGGGGGGAATGATGGATGGAGGGAACGTTGGCATTTCATGTTTCACTCACTTCCAAAAATGCAGAGTAGTATTTTTCACTCACTTCCTCCTTCCTCCATTCCCATGTTTCCACTATCCCCCCTCCCTCCCTGCAGGCGCAGCCAGACACCATGGGGTTGGGGGCGAGGGGGGAGGGGGGATGGGGGGAATGATGGGGGGAGGGGAGGAGGACTGGGAGATGGGGGAGTGGATGGGGGAACTAGGCATGGGCGGGGGGGCAGGAGGCGGAGGTGGGGAACTTGGAGGAGATGGGGGGGTGATGATGGCGGGAGGAGGGAGAGGGAGAGGAGGCGCGGAGAAGGGGAAGGAGCAGCAGAGTGGGTCTGCGATGGCGGCAGTGCTGCGCACGCTGCCCCACGTGCTCCCGTTTGAGAAGAGGTGCGAGCTGTGTTCACAAATGTAGGGATGGGGGGGAGGGAGGGTGGGGGGAAGAGCTACAATAGATGTATTTGAAATGTAGGAATGGCACAGGCGTGACAGGCTCGAAGCCCTCATCCGTCGCTCTTCTGCTCTCCTTTGTGCTCCAGGGTGCACATATTCCGCGAGCTCATTCAGGCGGACAAGGTGAGGCTCGGCTCTGGTTGGGAGTGACTTTCGGAATGGGCATGGTGCGGTCCGTGGTGGACTTGTCTGTTAGGCGCCACCTGCTCTGCTCGTGACAAGAGGAGGCGCGGAGTTGGTGTGACAGATTCAAACCCCTTACCTGCCCTTCTTCCCCACTCTTTCTTCGGGTCTCCTGGAATCAATTCTCAGGGTGCACATAACCCGCCAGCTCATTCAGGCGGACAAGGCATGGCATGGACTAGGTGTTACTTGTGTTACTTGTGTACCTCCCGGATGGGCAGTCCGGCTAGTGGTGGACGTGTCTGTGCGGCTGTCCTGTCCCTCTTCCCTCTCCCCATTCGGCTGTTTCTTGTGCCCCCCATGTCTCACCTCGCTCATCCCAGGGTGCACATATTCCGCGAGCTCATTCAAGCGGACAAGGCGCGGCATGGATTAGGGGCTACCCCCAGGATGGGCACGGTGCAGCCCGTGGTGGACGTCCCGTGTGGTTGTCCCTCTTCCCACTCCCCATTCCGTTGTTTCTTGTGGCCCCCATGCCCCGCTTCTCTTGCCACAGGGTGCACATATTCAGGGAGCTTCTTCAGGCGGACAAGGTGCGGCATGGACTAGGGGTTACCCCCGGGATGGGCATGGTGCGGCCCGTGGTGGACATGTCCTTGCGGCGCGACCCGCTCTGCTCGTGGAAGCTTATGCAAGCAGACGAGGAGAGGCACGGGGTTGGTGTGACAGCCTCAAAACCCTCTCCTGTCCCTCTTCTCCACTCCTCCTTTGGCTGTCCCTCGTGCTCTCCCCCCTGTCTTCTCTCAGAGTGTACATATTCCGGGAGCTGATTCAAGCAGACAAGGCGCGGCATGGACTAGGGGCTACCCCTGGCATGGGTATGGTGCGGCCCGTGGTGGACGTGTCAGTGCGGCGGGATTTGCTAGTTGAGGATGCGTTCGTGCGCCTCAACCAACTCGGACCGATGCTCAAGGTATCACTGAGAGGAAGCCGCTTTGGGAGTGACAAGGTGTGGCATGGGATGGGCATGGTGTGGCCCGTGGTGGACGTGTCCGTGCGGCGGGACTTACTGGTGGAAGACGCGTTTGTGCAATTGAACCAACTTGGCCTTATGCTCAAGGTACCAATGAGGGACGAGAGGGAGCAGTAGCATTGCAAGGCACTGACTGAGGTGACTCCCAGGCTGAGCACAGTGCGGTCTCAACCCACCCACCCACCCACCCGCGGTGCGGCCGGTGGTGGACGTGTCCGCCGTGCGGCGCGACCTGCTTGTCCCCATGCGGGCCGGTGGTGGACGTGTCCGCCGTGCGGCGCGCTGAGAATGTCACAAGACCAGTCGACCAGCTTGTCGAGGATGCGACTGAACCTACTCGGCCCCATGCTCAAGGTATCACTTGAGGGGAAGCTTCTGAGGGTTACCCATGCATGCGACAGGTGGGCGTGTGACGAGGTGACTTTTGAGTCGACTCAAAAGCTTCTGAGGGTTACCCATGCATGCAACAGGTGGGCATGTGACGTGTCGGTGCGGCGTCACCTGCTGGCGGAGGATGCCTTAGTGCGCCTCAACCAGCTGTGGCCCGTGGTTAAGGTGGGGGGAGGGAGGAGGGGGTGTATGATACGGCCATGATCAAGGTGGCACTGTGGGGAAGCTTCTGCCACGTTGTGTCATGCTCTGTGTTGCTCTCTCTTTCATTCCTCCCCCTATCTCTCCCCCACCACCACCACCTCACAGGCCCGTGTTTCCTCTGTGAATGCGTTCAGAGCCTAGGCGGACTCTCCCCCTAGGGCCATGTCCATGTCCATTTATTTCTCACTTTCTCTGTCCTTCCATCTCACAGGGCCATGTCCATGTCTTCTTCATGAACGCGTTTGGAGGAGATAGGAATGGACCAGGGCGGACCCTCCATTGCTCCCTCCTCCTGCTGCGCTTCCCACCTTTCCACTTCTCTCCTCTCTCGCGCTCTTGACCTACTCCACTCACACACCTCACAGGGACGTGTGCGTGTCTCATTTGTGAATGCGTTTGGAGCGGAGGAGATAGGAATGGACCAGGGCGGACTCTTCAAAGAGTTCCTCACTGACCTTGCTAAGGCAGCCTTTGACCCGGGGTACGTGGCACTAGGGGTTAATGGCGCCTGGGACAGGTGGTGGCGCCTGGGACAGGTGGTGCATGTGACGTCGAGATAGGAATGGACCAGAGCGGACTCTTTAAAGAGTTTTTCATTGACCTTGCTAAAGCAGCCTTCGACCGGGGGGTAGGTTAAACCTGGGGCAGGCGGTGGCACCTGGGGCAGGTGGTGGCACCTGGGGCAGGTGGTGGCACCTGGGGCAGGTGGTGCTTGGTTGGGCCAGGTCGCACATTGAGTGGCAGGTGACACTTTGAATTGGTAGGTTGTGCAGTGCAATGCAGTGGGTGTGCGTGCGGTGCAGCGTATGAGCGGGCGGTGCAGCGTATGAGCGGGCGGTGCAGCGTATGAGCGGGCGGTGCAGCGTATGAGCGGGCGGTGCAGCGTATGAGCGGGCGGTGCAGCGTATGAGCGGGCGGTGCAGCGTATGAGCGGGCGGTGCAGCGTATGAGCGGGCGGTGCAGCGTATGAGCGGGCGGTGCAGCATATGAGCGGGCGGTGCGGCGTATGAGCGGGCGGTGCGGCGTATGAGCGGGCGGTGCGGCGTATGAGCGGGCGGTGCGGCGTATGAGCGGGCGGTGCGGCGTATGAGCGGGCGGTGCAGCGTATGAGCGGGCGGTGCAGCGTATGAGCAGGCGGTGCAGCGTATGAGCGGGCGGTGCAGCGTATGAGCGGGCGGTGCAGCGTATGAGCGGGCGGTGCAGCGTATGAGCGGGCGGTGCAGCGTATGAGCGGGCGGTGCAGCGTATGAGCGGGCGGTGCGGCGTATGAGCGGGCGGTGCGGCGTATGAGCGGGCGGTGCGGCGTATTAGCGGGCGGTGCGGCGTATGAGCGGGCGGTGCGGCGTATGAGCGGGCGGTGCGGCGTATGAGCGGGCGGTGCAGCGTATGAGCGGGCGGTGCAGCGTATGAGCGGGCGGTGCAGCGTTTGAGCGGGCGGTGCAGCGTATGAGCGGGCGGTGCAGCGTATGAGCGGGCGGTGCAGCATATGAGCGGGCGGTGCGGCGTATGAGCGGGCGGTGCGGCGTATGAGCGGGCGGTGCGGCGTATGAGCGGGCGGTGCGGCGTATGAGCGGGCGGTGCGGCGTATGAGCGGGCGGTGCAGCGTATGAGCGGGCGGTGCAGCGTATGAGCAGGCGGTGCAGCGTATGAGCGGGCGGTGCAGCGTATGAGCGGGCGGTGCAGCGTATGAGCGGGCGGTGCAGCGTATGAGCGGGCGGTGCAGCGTATGAGCGGGCGGTGCAGCGTATGAGCGGGCGGTGCGGCGTATGAGCGGGCGGTGCGGCGTATGAGCGGGCGGTGCGGCGTATTAGCGGGCGGTGCGGCGTATGAGCGGGCGGTGCGGCGTATGAGCGGGCGGTGCGGCGTATGAGCGGGCGGTGCAGCGTATGAGCGGGCGGTGCAGCGTATGAGCGGGCGGTGCAGCGTTTGAGCGGGCGGTGCAGCGTATGAGCGGGCGGTGCAGCGTATGAGCGGGCGGTGCAGCGTATGAGCGGGCGGTGCAGCGTATGAGCGGGCAGTGCAGCGTATGAGCGGGCGGTGCAGCGTATGAGCGGGTGGTGCAGCGTATGAGCGGGCGGTGCAGCGTATGAGCGGTCGGTGCCGTGACGAACACGCACAGGTGTTCGCTTTCCCCTCTGCTCGAGCGTAATCTTCACGTATTGCAGCCCTTTGAACCAAGCCGAACAGTTGTTCCCTTTCCCCTCTGCTCAACAACCGTTGTGCTGGGGTAGCAGCAGCGCTGGGTCACGACATTCCCATGGTGGAGTTTCTGGGCTGCATCGAGTTGGAGTTTAGGTTCTTCTCTTCATCCATCCCTTCCCTCCCTTCCCTCCCTGCTCTCCCCAGCTACGGTCTGTTCCTCCAGGCAGCAACAGAAGAGGGTTACCTCTACCCGCACCCGGCTGCAGCAGCGCTGGGCCACAGCATTCCCATGGTGGAGTTTCTCGGCCGCATCGTGTTGGAGTTTAGGTTATTCTCTTCATCCATCCCTTCCCTCCCTTCCCTCCCTTCCCTCCCTTCCCTCCCTGCTCTCCCCAGCTACGGCCTGTTCCTCCAGGCGGCCACAGAAGAGGGTTACCTGTATCCACACCCGGCAGCAGCGGCGCTGGGCCACGGCATTCCCATGGTGGAGTTTCTCGGCCGCATCGTGGGCAAGGCTCTCTACGAGGGGATTCTGCTTGAGTACAACTTCGCCCCGCTCTTTGTGTCGAAGCTCGTGGGGAGATACGCCTTTTTGGACGAGCTGTCTTCTCTCGATATGGAGCTGTATCGCAACCTCATGTATTTGAAGGTGGGTGGGAGGGTGGGTGTGGCGGTGGCGTGTTCATAAGCATGGGGACCCGCGTTGGACCTAGTGGGGAGATACGCCTTTTTGCACAAGCTCTCATCGCTAGATGTGGAGCTGTACCGCAACCTCATGTACCTCAAGGTGGGTGTGAGTGTAGCAAGGGGACATAGTGGGCAGCACAGCCCTGTACAAGCACATTCCATAAGAGATATGCCTTTTTGGACGAGATCTCATCGCTGGACATGGAGCTGAAGGTGGGTGCCACAACCTCATGTATCTGAAGGTGGGTGTAAAAGTGAGTGGAGTCGTGACTGAGGTGCACCATCGTGGGCAAGACTCCACTACCATTACCATTACTATTACCGTTACCATTACCGTTACCATTACCATCACCGTTACCGTTACCATTACCGTTACCATCATCGTTACCATTACCGTTGCCATTACCGTTACCATTACCGTTACCGTTACCGTTACCATTACCGTTACCGTTACCATTACCGTTAACATTACCGTTACCATTACCGTTACCATTACCGTTACCATTACCGTTACCATTGCCGTTACCATTACCATTACCGTTACCCTTACCGTTACCCTTACCGTTACCGTTACCATTACCGTTACCATTACCGTTACCATTTCCGTTACCATTACCATTACTGTTACCGTTACTGTTACCATTACCGTTACCGTTACCGTTACCGTTACCGTTACCATTACCGTTGTCGTTGCCGTTGCCATTGCCATTGCCATTACCATTACCGTTACCGTTACCATTACCACTACCATTGCCATGACCGTTACCATTACCGTTACCGTTACCATTACCGTTACCGGACCAGTGTCGTTACGAGACCGTCACCGTTACCGTTACCGTTACCATTACCATTACCATAACCATTATCATTAGCACAAGCGTCACCATTACCGTTACCCATTACCATTACCATTACCATTACCATGAACGTTACCATTACCGTTACCGTTACCATTACCGTTACCGTTACCATTACCGTTACCATTACCATTAACATTACCGTTACTGTTACCGTTACCATTACCACTACCACTACCACTACCATTACCATAACAATTACCATTATCATTACCATTACAACTACCATTACAACTACCATTACCACCACCATTACCATTACAATCATTACCATTACCATTATCATTACCATTACAATTACCATTACAATTACCATTACCATTACTACCATCATAACTACCATTACCATTAGCATTACAATCACCATTACCATTACCATTACAACTACCATTATCACCACCATTACCATTACTACCATTACCATTACTACCATTACCATTATCATGACCGTTACCATTACCGTTACTGTTACCGTTACCGTTACCATTACCGTTACCGGACCAGTACCGTTACTAGTACCGGTACCGTTACTAGTACCGGTACCGTTACCGTTACTGTTACCGTTACTGTTACCATTACCATTACCATAACCATTATCATTAGCACAACCGTCACCATTACCGTTACCATTACTGTTACCATTACCATTACCATTACCATGAACGTTATCATTACCGTTAACGTTACCACTACCGTTACCATTACCGTTACCGTTACCATTATCGTTACCATTACCATTATCGTTACCGTTACCGTTACCATTACCATTACCACTACCACTACCACTACCACTATCATTTCCATTACCATAACAATTACCATTATCATTACTATTACCATTACAACTACCATTACAACTACCATTACAACTACCATTACCACCACCATTACCATTACTATCATTACCATTACCATTATCATTACCATTACAATTACAATTACCATTACCATTACTACCATCATAACTACCATTACCATTAGCATTACAATCACCATTACCATTACCATGACCGTTACCATTACCTTTATTGTTACCGTTACCGTTACCGTTACCATCACCGTTACCGAACCAGTACCGTTACCAGTACCGGTACTGTTACCGTTGCCGTTACCGTTACTGTTACCATTACCATTACCATAATCATTATCATTAGCACAACCGTCACCATTACCGTTACCATTACCATTACCTTGAACGTTACCATTGCCGTTACCGTTACCATTACCGTTACCATTACCGTTACCATTACCGTTACCATTACCGTTACCGTTACCATTACCACTACCACTACCACTACCATTACCATTATCATTACCATTACCATTACAACTACCATTACCACCACCATTACCATTACTATCATTACCATTACCATTATCATTACCATTACAATTACCATTACCATTACTACCATCATTACTACCATTACCATTACCATTATCATTACAATCACCATTACCATTACCATTCTCATTACCATTACCATTATCATTACCATTACCATTACAGCTACCATTACCACCACCATTACCATTACTACTATTAACATTATTACCATTACCATTACTATTACCATTTCCATTACCATTACCATTACCATGACCATGACCATGACCGTTACCGTTACCGTTACCGTTACCATTACCACTACCACTATCATTACCATTACCATTACTATTACAAATACTATTACCATTACCATTACCATTACAATTGCAATCACAATTACCATTACCATTACCATTACCATTACCATTACCATTTCTAGTACCTCAAAGTGGGTTGTGGCTTGACCGCGCACTGGTGTGTGACGCACATTGATTGTTTAGGAGGAGATATTCGTTCCTGGACAAGCTCTCTTCATTGGATAAGGAGCTGTATCGCAACCTCATGTGCCTGAAGGTGGGTGTGAGGTAGCGAGGGGAGCTGCCATGAGAGAAGCCCATGTCTCCCTTCTCCTCCTTATTGAGCTTGCACTAGACTTCGCAGTCACAGAGAAAGTCTTTTAAGAGCACTATGAAGGGGATGCATCCGAGCTGGCATTCAACTTCACGGTGACTGAAGAGGTGCTGGGGGCTTTGACCGGGCGGCAGTCACATCGCGGTGACCAATGCACCATCCCTTTCCCCTTACCCCCCTGCCACTTCCCGCAGCACTACAAAGGGGATGCCTCAGAGGAGGTGTTGGGAGAGCACAGCATTGTGGAGCTGCGGCTGTCAATTCTTGTCTATCCGCCCTCTGTTCCACCTCTTCCCGCAGCATTACGAGGGGGATGCATCTGAACTGGCGTTGGACTTCACAGTGACTGAAGAGGTGTTGGGAGAGTACAATTTTGTGGGGCTGCGGCGTGCACCCAACCTTTGTTTGCCTGTCCCCTTGTCACCCTCCTTCCTCTTCTCCTTCCCCATGCAGCACTATGAAGGCGATGCCTCTGAATTGGCTCTGGACTTCACGGTAACAGAGGAGGTGTTGGGAGAGCACAATATTGTGGAGCTGCGGCCGGGCGGCAGTCACATCGCCGTGACCAATGCACCATCCCTTTGTCTTTACCCCCTGCCACTTCCTGCTACCTCCTGCAGCACTATGAAGGGGACGCATCTGAACTGGCATTGGACTTCACGGTTACTGAAGAAGTGTTGGGCGAGCACAATATTGTGGAGCTGCGGCCTCCAGCCTCCAGCCCATGTGTCTCTCCCCCTCCTTCCTCATCTCTCAACTTATCCTCAGCACTATGAAGGGGACGCCTCTGAACTTGCTCTGGACTTCACTGTGACAGAGGAAGTGCTGGTTGGGAGAGCACAATATTGTGGAGCTGCGGCCGGGCGGCAGTCACATCGCGGTGACCAATGCACCATCCCTTTCCCCTTACCCCCCTGTCTCTTCCCACAGCACTACAAGGGGGATGCATCAGAACTGGCATTGGACTTCACAGTGACTGAAGAAGTGCTGCGAGAGCACAATATTGTGGAGCTGCGGCCGTCAACCCTTGTCTACTCGCCCTCTGTTCTCCCGCTCCCCTGCTTACATCTTGCCATTCCTCAGCACTATGAGGGGGATGCCTCTGAACTGGCATTGGACTTCACAGTGACTGAGGAGGTGCTGGGCGAGCACAATATCGTGGAGCTGCGGCCGGGCGGCAGCCACATCGCAGTGACCAATGAGAACAAGCTGCAGTATATCCATGCTGTGGCTGATTACAAGCTCAACCGTCAGGTGATTTCTCAGGTGGTTTTAACAGTGGTCAGGTGAACTCAACAGTGACCAAGCTGCAGTACATTCAAGCTGTTGCTGATTACAAGCTCAACCGTCAGGTGAGTTCTCAGGTGAAAGCAGCAGTGTCCAGGTGGTTGCAGAAGTGACCAATGAGAACAAGTTGCAGTATATCCACGCTGTTGCTGATTACAAGCTCAACCGTCAGGTGAGACTTCAGGTGAAAGCAGCAGTGATCAATGAGAACAAGCTGCAGTACATCCACGCCGTGGCGGATTACAAGCTCAACCGTCAGGTGATAGTTCAGGTGGTTTCAACAGTGGTCAGGTGGAGTCAACTGTGACCAATGAGAACAAGCTGCAGTACATCCATGCCGTGGCAGATTACAAGCTCAACCGTCAGGTGAGTTCTCAGGTGGTTTCAACAGAGGTGAGGTGAATTCAGCAGTGACCAGTGAGTGAGAACAGCCTGCAGTACATTCATGCTGCTTTTGATGTAATCGGCAGTTCTTAGGTTGTTTCAGCTGGGGCCGGTGAGGAAAGTCCGCAGTGCATCCATGTTGTTGTGACAGTGTGACTCAGTGCACGCTATACCATTAAGAAAGAGTTCAGGCAAAACCATCAATGGCCAATGGGTATTTCTTTCGTTCCACACACCATCAATGTCAGCATTCGTTTCTGAGGGGCCTCTTAGATCTGATTCAGCCAGAGTGGCTGCGGCTGTTGAGACAACTCATAAGTCTGTCTGTTCTCTTCCCCCATCCCCCCGCACACACTGGCAGATGGCAGCAGTGGTAGCAGCATTCCTAAGGGGCCTCTCAGATCTGATTCAGCCCGAGTGGCTGCGGCTGTTCAGTCCAAAGGAGTTCAACCAGGTGAGATTTCAGGAGATTGCAACAGAACAGCTTGGAACACACAAGGTAGCAAGTAAACAGTTGAGTCCACACCACAGGAGATAGCAACAGAGTGTTTTGTTTGCTTCTGCGGTCTGTGTCTATGACTCTGGGTGCATGTGTCTATGTAACTCTCTGTGTGAGCAGTTGCTGTCAGGCAGGGACCAGGATGTGGACGTGGAGGGATCTCAAGGCACACAGCTCTCAGCCTGATCTCTGTGCCTCAAAACCCAATCTATACTCTCTCCATCTCATTGAGCAGCTCCTGTCAAGAGGAGAGCAGGACGATTATGTTGAGGATCTCAAGGCGGTATATCCAAGCCTGGAGCCCAACGTGTCTGCTCTCTGCTGTGTGTGCTTCTGTGATGTTGTCTCCCCAATGTGCCTTCCTGCCTCCTGTGTGTGCCTGTGTCTTGTGTGTGCTCCGCTCCCCAAGCAGTTGTTGTCAGGCGGAGAGCAGGACATGGACGTGGAGGATCTCAAGGCACACACACGAGATACTCGAAGCAGTTTCTCATGTCCAAATCTCTGTGTCTCATGTCTGTGTGTATGAGCAGCTGCTATCAGGCGAGGAGCAGGACATGGACGTGGAGCATCTCAGGGCACACACGCAATCCTGGGGGGAGAACACGGAGCCGACTTTTGAGGCGCCTCAAGAGCCGTTACTTGTGGCCAATCTCTGTGCCTCACGCCCAATCTCCATGCCTCATGTTTGTGTGTATGAGCAGCTGCCGTCAAGTGGAGAGCAGGACGTGGACGTGGAGGATCTCAGGGCACTGCTGTCTACACTGCAAGCTCTCTAAGTCTCGAGCCCAATACATGCATTTGTCTACTCTGCCTGTCTCTATGTGCTTGCTTGCAGCTGCTGTCGGGAGGAGAGCAGGACGTGGACGTGGAGGATCTCAAGGCACACACGCGGTACTCTGGGGGATACACTGAGAGCGACCGAACCATCAGGATGTTCTGGGAGGTGCGTGGTTGGCTTGTGTGTTGGCGTTGTATGTATTGTTTACCTTCAATCAAGGCCCACACGCGGTACTCTGGGGGATACACGGAGAGCGACCGCACCATCCGCATGTTCTGGGAGGTGCGTGTTTGGTTACTGTGCAACATTGTTACATGGACTGTGAACCTGCGTACAGAGCACACGCGATACTCGGGGGGATACACGGATAGTGACCGCACCATCAAGATGTTCTGGGAGGTGCGTGATTTTGTTCTGCGAATAACTGAGTGAGTACCTACAATTTTCATTCATGAGATAATGGAGGGGGTTACACGGAGAGCGACCAGACCATCCACATGTTCTGGGAGGTGCGTGGTTGGTTTCCGCGAATCATTGTGCAATAGTTGCCGTTGCTTCAACAAACAAGATATCCGGGGGGATACACAGAGAGCGACCGAGAGTAGTTTCTTGCCTTTGCTCCCCTCATCTCTTTCGGCTGTCTTGCCTTTCTCCCCATGTATCACCATCACACCAGGTGGTGAAGGAGCTATCAAGGGAGGAGAAGAGCCAGCTGCTCAGATTCGTCACCAGCTGCTCACATGAATCCTCCTTTCCTCTCTCGCCTTGCTTCCCTCTCCCATTCCCATGCCACTGTCTCATCGTATAACATCACAACAGGTGGTGAAGGAGTTATCAAGGGAGGAGAAGAGCCAGCTGCTTAAATTCGTGACAAGTTGCTCGCGACCCCCGCTGCTGGGCTTTAAGCATCTCAACCCGCCCCTCACCATCCACAAGGTAGGTGTGACTATCGACAAATGTGACTGGAAGGTGAATGGTTGTGATTACAGTGAACTGTAGCGTGTGACCTCGCTATCAGGTGAATGTGGCGCGCTCATATGGGTTAAGCTAGGAGGGCATCGCTGCTTATTGCCCCATGGCTCATGCTGAATGTGTTTCATTCGTACCCCATATAGCCTGCCTCACTATCAGGTCAACGTGGATGCGTCCATGTGGGCAACACTGGGAGGGCCTGACGTGGACTGGCTACCCACTGCTAGCACTTGCCCTCTGCTTCATGCTGCGTGTGTTTTGTACCCCATATAACTCGCCTCGCTATCAGGTCAACGTGGATGCGTCCATGTGGGCTACACTAGGAGGGCCCGATGTGGACTGGCTTCCCACCGCTTCCACCTGTTACAACCTGCTCAAGGTAATCATTGCTCCTGCTGTGCTACAGCCTGCTCAAGGTAATCATTGCTCCTGCTGTGCTACAGCCTGCTCAAGGTAATCATTGCTCCTGCTGTGCTACAGCCTGCTCAAGGTAATCATTGCTCCTGCTGTGCTACAGCCTGCTCAAGGTAATCATTGCTCCTGCTGCGCTACAGCCTGCTACAACTTGCTCAAGGTAGTCATTGTTTTTGTTGAGCTACAATGGTAGCTCTTGTTTCCGCTGCTCTACAAGCGGCTCAATGTGAGCGATTTTTAAGAATTCTCAACAATCGGCTCAAGGTAACGATTGACCACTTGGTTGTCACCTCTTTTCCAGTATCGCAACCCCGTAATGTCATCTTTCCTTCTCTTATTCTATATCTCTCTAATTCTATATCCTTGGATCTCACGATCTGAGTATGCCTTTCACTGAATGACTTTCCTTGTACCCCATGCCACAACTGCCCACATACCAACTAGCCAGCAGACTGCGTGATAAACTCTTGTACAATGTTACTTCCTCTTCCCCTCCCCCAACTCCTGTCCAACCCTCCCCCACGCAGCTGCCCACCTACCAACGAGCCAGCACATTGCGGGATAAGCTCAAGTACGCCATCTCTTCTGGTACCGGCTTTGAATTGTCATAAGTGCTGAGAGTGTAGCCATTGGAGCTGTTTGCTCCATGTGTCTTCTGCATGCGTCTGCCCGAGCCAGCACGCTTCGGGATAAACTCAAGTATGCCATCTCTTCTGCAACCGGCTTTGAGCTGTTTTGCTCATGTGTCTGCTGCATGCACGATCTAGCACTCTACAGGAGAAACTCAAGTACCGTACATCCATTTTCTCTGGAGCCGTCTATGAGCTCTCACGAGGCCCTGAGCCCTGAGAGCACTGGGCCGTCGGCCTTTCTACTGCCGTGTTCTTCTGTGAATCATTTACACGCCTTTTATGCTGTATGAAGTGTTAATTTCTTAGTGCCTCAAACCGGTCTTGTTTCAGCTTACTCATGTTGTCTCGTGTAAAGAAAATCAGTTATAAAATTGGACAACTAACGTAGCAGGCGTTGCAGGCCCACTAGCGTTACGGAAATCTAGGGTCAAAGCAATCATGCTCTCTCTCCTTACAGCATGCTCCATACAGCAACCATACACCATACATTTGTGTTAGTGTTCCCCCATCGAGTCTATGGTCTTCGTGGCCCTCATTATTGGCTTGTCGGAGGTTTTCTTTGCGACGGGTTACTCCACGGAAAGTAGGGCTTCGACCGATGATGCTCGCAACCCTCCCACGCCCTTGCTGACTTGGTAATATGACAAGACTGTTGGAAACAAGTAACTTAAACGCTTCTGATGTGTCGCAACAGCAAGCTGAAAACGAAGCGAGCTACAACGAAGCAACGGCGAGTCAAACATCGGAGGTTGACAAGAGAAGTAACTGCTGGAGGTTACGCGAAGGTCAAAAGTCAGCGACCTTTGACTTGACAAATACAGCGCGACAGCAAGGACAAACAACTGACTCGCTATTGAGCAGCTGCCCGAGTCGTTACTGTATTGAACCGTTGTTAACGGGAATGGAGTGTTGGCCCCGCCCTCGCTTGGGCAACGCCGACGACTTGGTCGGATGTACGGGAGTAGCAGCCGACCATTCACAGTGGGAGAGCTGCTCGACAGGCATCGTCGAGCTGAAGGGGACCGCTGTGGTGTTGCTGTCGACCAGGGAGCTCGACAGCTGCAACTGAGTGGTCTGGGCGATAGGTGGGCCGTTGTCCATGAGGGGTCGTTCGACCGGGAGGCCTCCGTCGACCCGCAGCTCGACCAGGGGGTCTCCGTCGACCTGGAGCTCGACCGGGAGCAGTCTGTCGACCTGCAGTTCGACCGGGAGGTCGACGGAGCAGTCTGTCGACCTGACAAGTGAGCAGCGGTCGACGAGGGGAGCTCGGCGACAACCGCTGACTGTTCTGGTCGATGGGAAGGGTCTGACGACCATGGGGTATCTCGACGGGAGCTGTGGTCGACCAGAGGCACCTAGTGGTCAACCAGAGGGACCCGGTGGTCGACCGGAAGCACCAGATGGTCGGGCGGGTCGACCGGGTAACCTGCTCGACGAGTTCTGCGGAGGCACGCGAACATCGTCGAGGTTGCGATGGCGAAGGCAACTGCGGGCTGGTATCCTGAAGTCGATGTGGCTCGTCAGGCGCAGACAATAGCCAACGGATGCCCAACGAGGCAAGTCGGGCCAATTGTCTGCGCGCACCTGCGAGCTTGCGTACTGCTGTGTTCTACGGGGCAACGCTGGACAGCCGCTCTATTGCAGTGTTGGCACGCCGTCGACCTGCTCTGTTGGCAGGTCGCCTTTCCGCAGTGCTGGTGCGGCTCCTCTACGCAACGCTGGCAGGCGGTCGACCGAGCTGTGCTGGCGGTCGACCAGGCTAGCTGCAGGGCTGCTAGGTGCTTGATGTAGTCATTGTTGCCATTGCTTGTTAAATCATTCTGTAATTTCGACTTTGCCTAGTGAAAACTCTTGCCGATTTCTCCTGTGAATGTGCAAGCACTAAGGAACTAAGAAAATCTACAATCACTCCTAGTAGTTCGTGCCAACCCCCGTAGTCTAGCTCACTACGGTTGTAGAGTGTATCTCCGCATGGTGCGGTGAGTGTGGACGGCCCCGCAAATTACCTTCATATAGGAGCCGACTTTTGCACCTACTAAGTCGTTCGTAGGCCGACAGCAGCGATAGTCACCATGGTCAACCCCGTAGCTGATGCGGGTGTAGCGGATACCTTGGAGACACGCTTGGCTGATGCAAGGAAACGCCACGCGGATGGCGAGTACGGGACGATCCCCTTGTTGATCGTCGAGTTGGGCATCCGGTCGTAGTGGGCGACGGAACACCCTTCCCATCCTGCCTCTCCTCGACCGGTGCGCAACGAAGGTGGCGTCGACCACGAGGTCGACGGTGGTGCACGAGTCAGCGACAGCTAAGGCACGAGGCAGAGAGGGGTGATCAAGGTCGACTGTGGTGTCGACGGAATCCAAGCGTGAGTGCAGCGGTCGACGGCGGCCGCAGGCAGCTCGTGTGCCAACGTCGATGCTCGACGTCGCTCTCCTCTACGAAGTGGTGGAGGGCTCTCGGCGACGACGCATGTGACTGCAGGCGGGATTGCACTGGCGTATGGCTACTTCAAATTCTCGCCGGACCGGATCACCGTCACACCGCTGCAAGGTCAACGGGACCTCATCACCTGGAGGGAGTCGATCGAACCTCAGCTGGAGGTCGCCGGGCTGAAGGGCTTCGCCGACGGCACCGTGCCAATTCCGCCCGAGGAGAATGTCGAGTTGCGTAGGGAGTTTCGTTCTGCTCACCTGCTCACCTTCATGGTCATCTCGAGGTGATGCTCGCCGATGATGCAGCTAGCGCTCAGGAGCTGTCAAGAGCGACTAGATGCTGGTCACCAGGCGTGGCACTTCATCTTGTCGACGTACCAGGCCAGGGACGACCTGTACATCTGACAGCTAGAGGAGAAGATGACTCACATTCGTATGGGCGAGCAGGCTTCGGCGACGGACTACTGCAACCGAGCTCAACAGATCCTAGCTGAGATGAGGATGGCGGGCGCTGAATACTCGACGGCGTCCTACATCACCCACATTGTCAAGGGCCTGTCGCGCGGCTACAATCTCATGAAGAGGATGATGATGGTGCTCGGCACGCGTGAGTCCCTCGACGAGGACTCCATCACCAGCTACATCCTTCAAGATGAGGCGATGCAGGAGGCCGAACAGCCCACAGAGCTCCTTCCACAGGCACACTACGCTCCATCAACGAAGCTGAATCAGCAGCAAGGGCACCGCGGGAAGCCTTTGAGAGGACGTCCCCGTTATAATATTTTCTCACTATTATATTTTTCTGTTATCCTATTCTCCCTTTTCTCCTCTTTATTTTGGTCTTTATCTCATCTCAATCGGCCTACTATTCTATTTTCTAGAGCCTTCTATTTATTTCTCTTATTTCCTACTTTTCCCACCGACATACCTATTATACGGCACCGACAGCGCCGACAGTGGTGTATACGATGTAATCTGGGCGTAATCCCAAGTGCCAATAGCCTTGCGTGCTTATGCGCACTTGTGATTGTAGTATCGGGAAGGGTGTGTTCCCGAAGGTTCGTTTTATCTCGTTTATCCTTGTACTTTCTGAGTATAAATAGGCCTTGTATTCAGTTTTAGTGACAACTTTTCGATTGAGAATTCGATCCTGTGACTCTTGGTAATCAGAGCCGTTCTCACTCGACGACTCTCGGCTAAGCAGCGGTCGCGGAAAAAATCGCCTCGAAAAACCGCCGGGGGCGACCAATTCGACGCCGAATTCTGGTAAGCACCAATTCCGCGCTTTTCGAATTAACCCCCTCGCGTGGTTTTTAAACAGGATGGGTTCGTCGGCGACCAACGACGTTACGCAGCAGCTCTTCGCGCAAATCGCCAAGATGGAAGCGGAGATGCGAGCGACGACTGAACGGTCGCGATTGGAGAACGAGCAGCTGCGAAACGAACTGCAGCGCGTTACGCGGCTCCTCTCGACCATGAACATTCCTGCTTCGACGACTTCGCAGCGTCAGTTCGAGGTTCCGAAACTTCGCTCGCCGGAATCGTTCGACCGTAGCGATCGGAAATCCGACGTCAGGCGGTGGCTCGCGACGATGGAAATCTATTTCGCGGCGATCAGATGGTCGACGACGGAGTACGACGGCGAGAAAATTCGTCTCGCGACAACGTTGATGCACGGTCCAGCTCTCGAGTGGCTCGGAAGCAACAGTAGCATTTTCCAGGGCGAAGCCACGTGGCAGCAGTTCCGGGCAGACCTTCTCAAACGTTTTGAGCCGATTAATTCCACTTATATTGCGCGCAAAAAATTACATCACCATAGGCAATTCGGGAGTGTCGCGCAATACACGCAGCAGATGGAGGAATTTTATAATCGCATTCCCGACATTACCGAGGGCGAA